AAATCCAGATTCAACTTTTAAAATAAAATATCTGATATAATATAATTCGGATATATATAATCTGAATATAAAATATGACATTGGAAGCTCTGGTATTATTCAAACTATAACACAATCAAACTTCTATCTATACAGAAAATATGATCATAAATTATGCCTGGATTATGAAAATAGTATCCGGATTAACCCTGATATATTTATATCCGGATTCAAATGGGTTAATCCGGATACATTTTTTTAGTCATATTTATATCCGGATTGTAAATATGTGTACAGGTTCTAATTCTACTCTAATATATATATTGAAATGAACTGTTTGTATTACTAGTAATTGTCTTTAAAATAAATTTGTCTATGAATGAATTGTCTATATAAAATAAGAAGTTGAAGCGATTATACGTATCGTAACACTAAGGCTCTACATTTGAAGTATTTTGTCTGAAAACTATTGCTATGATCAAGATCTAATGTCAGGTGCCTAGTTTTGGCCGGTGCGACATTTAAGATCCGGGCACGATCCGGGATATTCACTAAGGCTAATTAATCTATACAATCTTGCGATTAAAGCTGTTTACATAGTGGAGTTTACAAGGAATTAAATTTGTTAGATATGCTGCAATCTGCTGTGTATTCGACGATATCAATTTTCAAATTGTTGAACCTTTTTACTCAAGAGAGTTTTAAAAACTGATAATTTTTATAACCTCGGTAAAAGCCTTAACGATCTGAAAAATCGAACCAAATTATATAATTACATATTTATACAATAGTTCTAAATATTCTGCCTTTTTAAACACTTTTTCAAGGTACTGTCATACTCCCTAACTGAATGTATGTTAAGCTCTTCATTCTAATTGTTCAGGGTTACTAAAAAGAAACTCGATTTTTCTTCTATCAGATTACGATTATTAAGAACTTTGACAAATTTGGTCGATTTTTAAGTACTGTATACACAAGATTAGTAAATCTGTATTAATAATCATACGATTTCTATAATCGAGGTTGATATTTATTTGTAATTTCATCATGATAAATATTACATAAACAATTCGAATTGTTTATTTAAAACCCTAAAAAATCCTTATCGTTATGTACTTTAAAATTTCTTCACTACCGATCGCCTTTAATTTGATTCGAAAGATAATAATTGTCCGCAAAATGACTACCACTGCTAAACCTTCTAGTAACATTTTGAATTGGGCTTCTAAAGATGGAGAGTTTCGAAGGTCTGTATTTCAGTATTTATTGTAAGGTTATGGTAGATAAAATTCTATTAATCTCTGATCATTCAATTACAGAAATCCCTCTGTTTTTCGTAATACGATCAGCAAAGATCCGGATGCAATTTTTACTCCTGAAAAGTTAGTTAATTGCATTGATGTTTTTAGCCTTAAATGTAGTTGATTATTTAAACTTTTATTTTTCTGTTGTACCTATATACTACGTAGGGATCGTTATCATTTGTATATTAGTTGGGCTTGTCCATGGGTATGTTTGTATTTGTTCTCAATATTTATGAATTATCTTTCACGTATTATTTCTAAATTAATTTTTCCATATCATCCCCCTATAACAGGCCCATAGGACTGTCATCGTACGAGCATTGAAAGGGCTTGAAGACATTATTGGATTGAGCGTTGTTGATTACTTTTTGGGCGAGAAAGGATGGAAATTTAGTACTCCCGAGGAAACTCCTGGATCTATTCCAGACACTGTAAATAATGCACAATATCTTAGCGAATTATATTTCAAAGCTAATCCTGAATATGATGGAAGGTTTGGATCCAAAATTTGCATATATTTATACATGATTTAATATAATTTCATTAATAAAGATGCAATATTTTAGATACACTGTACCTGTTCTTTGGGATAAAAAATTGCAAACAATTGGTAAATATCGAAATTATTATAAACTAGAACAAGTTCAATTAAAAATAATTCGATCTTTGCTATTATAGTCAACAATGAATCGAGCGAAATAATCCGTATTTTCAACAATGCGTTCGATGATTTCGTTCCAGAAACAAAGGGCAAAACTTTTTATCCAGAACATCTTGCAAACGAAATTGACAAAATCAATGATTGGATTTATAAAAAAATTAACAATGGTGTTTATAAATGTGGATTTGCTACAACTCAAGATGCTTGTACGTACACTTTTTGTAATTTATTTTATTTTTCTTTTAATTCTTAAAATTAATTATTTGTATTTTCTATCAACAGATATGAACCATATTGGACCTCTGTTCGGAGCCCTGGATGATGTGGAAGCTATTCTTTCTAAAAATGAATTCCTTGTCGGAAATACTTTAACTGAAGCTGATATCAGACTTTGGACCACAATTGTTAGGTGTTGTATATTTTAAAATTTCTATAGTTCTAATTATTGACTGGTATTAAGAGAAATACGATAGTTACATATCACGAATCTATTTATAAAAATTGCATAGATTTGATCCAGTTTATCACACGCATTTTAAAACAAATTTGAAAACTATTAAATATGATTATCCAAACATTCTTCGTTGGACTAGGCAAATTTATAAAATTCCTAAAGGTAAATCATTACGTTCTTATTTTATCAAATTAATTAATATTAGCTAATATATACTAATAATCAATTTTAACATCCTTCAAGTTGCTGATACCGTTAATTTGACACACATCAAAAATCATTACTACAAAAGCCATAAGCAAATCAATCCACATGGAATTGTCCCTGTTTACAACGGACCCGGTACGTAAACTTTTAGAATCGTAAGATACTTATCTAATGAATTAATGAATAATATTTTCTAATAAAATTTTTTATTTGCGACTTATATGGTTTCTTTTTCAGATCTTAATTTATAAGTATGGTTTCGACTTTTGTTTTTTAGCCTATAAATTTGTTCGAATTTCTTTGTAAACATTTAAGAAAACATTTGATGTGAGAACTGAAAATTCTATAACTATAACTTATTATTTCCTATTTTTGTATTTAACTATTCGACATTAGTTAATATTATTGGCGTTCTGTCACTTTACTAGTTATGTAAAATCTTCTTATTAGTAGGATTTTTTACTATCTCTGTTTAATATGGAATGTAAAACAGTAAATAAAATATACTTTAACATAAAAATCTTTTAATTATTAACAGTAATAATTTATTCATTTATATTTTGAGCTATTTATAAACATTTCTAAATTTTACATATTTAGCTTTTGTTTATAAAAATTTACGCAATAAGAGTTTGACTAAAAGTTTTTGTATCTGACACTTTCTGTAGTCATTATGTTAGTGTCAGAGAAATAATGTCGAAGTTATGTCAGAAGTGTGTGTTACGAAAATTTGGTATAATAAAAATTATATTAGTTGAATCTTTATTCTGTATCAAATTGTTAGCAGCCTCTAGAGGCCCTGTGACTTAGTATCTAATAAAATCTGTCTTTAAGACATAAATCTTGATTACAAAAAAATAAATAAAATAAATAAGGGGAACTGATATTTCCACCCCCATGTAGATAACCTTTGATTGAAAGTAACTCGGCAACCACTCAACTAAATTCGATGAACTTTTTTTTAAAATTAAAATAAAAAAATTTATCGAATTTAGTTGAGATACCTTTGGCAAAGTCAAGAAAAATTTTGCCGCAGCTAATATTTTGATAGACGTTTAAAAACTTTTTAAAAAGGTATCTCGACAGTCATTCAACCAAATTCGATGAATTTTTATTTAAATTCTATCGCTATGGGTCCGTGGAATTCGAATAAAAAAATTTACCGATGAATGGTTAAGTCATTACCAATTTTTCTGCGGCTAATATTTTTGATAGACGTTTAAAATTTTTTAAAACTTTGATCGAAGATATCTCAACAACCATTCAACCAAATTCTATGAATTTTTTATTTTATTTAAATTTTACGAATCCATAGAATTTAAATAAAAAAATTCATCGAATTTGGTTAAATGAATATCGAGATAACTTTGATCAAAGTCATGACCAATTTTTTTTTCGCGGCTAATATTTTGATAGACGGTTAAAATTTTTTTGAAACTTTGATAGATTGATACAGTATTATACGGTAGAAAGTGGATAAAAGAAAAAGTAACTAAAATTAATCTAAACTTTGTTTTAATTTTACTAAAAAATCTGTATTTTTTTTGTAAAGGGTATTAGCTAATAAATATTATATATTCGGCCTTTTAATTAATAATTTATTTATATATATATATTAACAAAATGATTTGGTTATAAGATGACAATAAAAGAGGTTTACTGTATTCGCGTCACGACGTTTGATGATTGAGTTGTTCTTACATCCCTGTAAATGCGTTTAATACAATAACACGATTTAAAAAAACAATTTAATTAGTGAAACTGTCCAGCGAGGATAATTAAGCATTTGCTAATACTCGATATGCGTGATTGCCTGTCAGAAATGAGCAAATCGAAGATTTTCGAAGTTCTGCCGTGCTTGGTGTGATGTCGCGTAAGATCAGCATAAATCCCACGTGAAAATGTATACGCGTTTTATTCTTATAAAAATAATAAATACCCAGAAATCAATTTTTTCAATAATTTATGAATTTAATTCAGGCAAAAAGATTGTAAATCTTTAATCAAATTAATTAAAACTAATACTGTACAAATTAATTATTATTAGCAAATACATTTCGATGCATTTTAGATAATTTGTGATTCGGCAATTTAACATTTTGGAGAGATATAGTATTAAAATTTTGTAATATTAACCAGTCATTAGTATTATATTTTCAATTTATAAGAGAATTTTTATCTACCAATACATTTTGTAGAAAATATGAGAAGAGTTACCCAAAATTTATATTGTTTTTATTTGACAACAAAAATGATTAAAGTCATCAAATCGAACCGTAGATATATTTTAATGTCTATCGCAACTTTTTTTCGTATTTCTTCCTCTCTTTCTTTGACTTGTCTTTGTCATTCTACATGAACATAAAGATTAGGCAAATGATTATAAATATTATGGTTATACTTTAACATACCTCTTATCGGATTTTAAACAATTGTCAAGATGTGAATTAATACGCATGTTTGTAGGTTTTTTGAAGTTTTTATCACATTTTGGACATTTCCAGTCAATACTCATCTCTGGGTTGTTTTCAGAATTTTCAGGAATATCGGATCCATAAATCTCGCTATTTGTATCTTCAGTTTCATCTAGTTTATCTTGTTCATCTTGTACATTTTGTACGGAAAACGTTGAATATATCGCGTCTTGCTCATAATCGCTTTCGGTTATATCTTCAATATTTAAACATGTATCCAGGTGCTCATTAATTTGAGAAACTTTTACATTTGGAAATTGTTTATTACATCCAGGGCAAGTATACTTTTTAAGAACAGTTGGTACAGGATACCATTTACGCTTTTCATTGGTTTCTTGAGTTGAATTACAAGAAGTTGTGACGGGTTCATGTTCTATCAACAGGTCGACTATATTCTTCCGAGCAGAGTCATGATTAATTGAATTCGAAGCTCCGAATGGTTCAATATTAAGACGTTGCCTTTTGACTTGTTTTTCTTGTTTTTCTTGTTCTTCCTGTTCAGTTGTATCTTCTTGTGTTGAAAACCACTGTTAAGAATATTTTATATATTAGTGAATGAATGAATTGCTAAAACCAAATTGATGATATTCACCCTTTTCAAGCAGCTATTTTCAGGTTTTGATGTTTTTGGCGGTTCAAAGTCAAATTCTTCAGGAGTTGTTGATTTTTGTGAAGGGTTTGGTTGGTTAAAAAACCACTTTGAAATCGTTATATTAAATAATTGTGACAATCAGAAATAATTCATATTATAAACGAAAGTGAAGAAAGTCGAAGAAAGTCAAAGAAAGCGGGTGTAAAATAATTATGTACATACCCTTTTCAATCCACATTCATCATTACGTGAACGTAAATTAGATAGTCGTACACCCATGAGCCTTATGTTTAAGGGTAGTTCATCTACTAATATCTATCATCAAAAAAGATACGAAATGAATACCATGATCATATAAATCAAATTTTAAATCGATTTAAATTGAATAATACTTGTTTTCCAAAATGATATAAATCATCGGCCGTGTATATATATCTTTTAAGAGATCTTTCACGTGTAGTCACTTTGAAACTAACAGATTTAAATGTCAACGCAATAGTTTTTCCCTGCATTTTAAATAATTAATCAAACATACTTTAATAACACTACGTATATATATTGTATCATAAAATTCACTACTTACATGGAGATATTCTTTGGCGAGGTCAGCTGCCAAATTATCAACTAATTCGCGGAGTTTGGCAAGCAACTCATTAGGTTGGCTTAACCTGCAGAATGTTCTAGTAGAACGAATAAATCAGCACATAATCAGTATAAATAGTAACATTAAGAATTGTAATTGCTGATCAATTAAATAATCTTACAAACCTTGATATACTCATACTCTTTCGCTTATATTCTCTGAACAAATAATGACAATTAATAATCAATTATAAAAATAATTAAAAATACAATAATATAATAATAGCAATAGATTTTACGATTTAACAGTAGTCGATCCAATCCCAAGTGCCGCTCGTATGAAAAAATTGAACGAAATTGATGAAAACATTCTATATATGTAGACACTATTGTCTAGTATTGCACCACATGTACTTATATCAATCTCCTTTAAAATCCTCTCAGTGACTCGACCAATGCCTTAACAGTGGGATTATAAATCAATATTTATTTAATGAATAGCGAATTTAAATATGTGCGTAAAGAATTTACCAGGGATTTTACGAACAGGAAGAGGTCGAATGAATCTCATGATATCATTAATATTATTTGGAAGTCGATATTGCCCGTTTGGTTTGTTAAAATCGGAACATATTTTAGATAATAACATGTTGGCGGCGATACCTGCACTGGCTGTTAATTTTGTTTCTTCATGTATTTCTTTACGAATTTGTTCAACAACTTCATCGGGAGTTTTATCTGTTGTTTCGAGATACTCTGTAATATCCAAATATGCTTCATCTAGACTCATAGGTGTATAATTTGGATCATAACGAGCAAAAACTTCACGTATTTGCTTCGCGACTGCGTGGTATTTGTCGAAATTGCATGGAACTATAATAAGTTCTGGGCATAACTTTTTAGCAATAAAGCCTGGCATAGCACTACGAACACCATACTGAAATAATAAAGGCATTGATTAAAGTAAAAGTTAACTAAATTTTAAACATAAAATATTTTTATATATTAATCATACACGTCTGGCTTCGTAATTCGATGTGCTCAACATAGAATTACTCCCAACTGCCATTGGTTTACCGCGCAAAGAAGGATTATCTCTTTCTTCGACAGAAGCATAATATGCATCCATGTCGATATGCACTATTATGCGAGATAAATCCCTCTTGCGTTCTATGGCCTGCACCAAACTATCAACTTTATTATTAAAGGTAGACAAATCTTGTCTTCTGAGAGCTTCATATTTTTTTAATAGCTGTTCTGTTTTGTGTTTTAAAGCCTCGTCCTTTCTGACTTCATTAATATAAAATTCTGAGTTCTAAAATTATAAGCAACCTAAATTTAAGTAAAACAATTACATTACATGAATAATTAAAATATATTTATGCAGGATGTTACCTTTGAAGCTTCATAGATGACTTGATTAATCTTTTCTTTATCAACCCCCTGTAGACCTGCCTTGTTCGAAGCAAGATCACCCATTCTACAACGCAGAGATTCATCATTATTTTTATCAGTCGTGGATTGCTCAGCATTTGTCGACGAAGCGGATGATGAACCGGAATTGTTTTCTTCTTGATCAGTTAATGGTCGGAAGTCATTTTCTTCAGCAAATTGAAATTCGGTATCAAGTTCTTCTCCAATTAAAAAATCTTGAGAATCAAAAATATCACTTTCGTCAAATTCCATTTTGATACATTTTAACTATTATACTTTATGCGCATGAATAATAAGTGATTAGCACTATAAATAAGTACTTTACAGGATATTAAAATTATTTATAGATATTTATTGCAGTTATCTGTTAAAAAAAAAATTTAAAAGGAGAAAAATTTTAATTTGTCCTTTTGACCTCCCAGTGATCAAAATAATACGATGATTTTCTGCGCCAAGTCCGCAGTTTTGTACACTTGTATTGTCAAGTAACATCCCCAGATTCAAGTATGAATATAAATAAGAGATAAACAAATGTTCCTATTGGTGGCATAGTTCTAGAAGATTCTATTTAAAGTCTTAATTTGTGTATCCATAAATCTGGGGTACAGAATTTAGTATGGCAATTATCCACGAGCATTAAAAATAAATTTCGAGATTTTTACCAAAAAAGATCCACTATCGCTACCACCGGAAATTCCCTACTCGGATATTATTAAATTACCCGGGTTATCCGGGTAATTTATTATATACAGTATTTCGGGTAGTTATACAATAGCAATTTCTACCCGGGTCCAATCCCTAATTTCAATGATTAAGTAATTCTCTCATATTAATAATCACATATATATATATATATACAGTATACAGTATATTATAAAAAAAAAAAAAAACAAATAATAAAAAATTGTGCTATAGGGATTTTTATTTATATATAACGTAATTATAAAGGAGATAGGATTCTCTGCATAAAGATTATTGACATACCATTGAACCCAAAAGTGTACTATTAAAATTAATATATTTTGGTGAGTTAGTAGAAACGACAAATTTTTTTAAGTAAAATTTTTTAAACTTGAATAAAAATAACTTAACAATAACTTATTAAAATTTAATAAAAAATTTTTTTTAAAAAGTTCTAAAAGTTGTAGAAAAAATTAGATTAAGTTTTTGAGTTATTTTTCTTTTAAGGTTTAAAAAATTTTATTAAGATTTAGTGCATTTCCAGCTTATCTTTATATAATTTATAATTTAGCAATTATATAATATACTAATATATATATATAATATTATACTGTATTGTTAAATAAATTTAGTTTTACCAATTAATATGCTATTATAAATAAAAAATTTTAGCAATCAAATATTTAAAAATAGTAGATAAATATAATTTTTTTTTATAGTATGATAAAAAAAATTTACTTAAATATTAATAATATTTTAAGTCCATTTAATAAAAAAAAAAAAATACTAATAACCAGAATTGACAATTTGGTGTTTTATTAGAAAATTCATTAAAATTCTTTATTACAGTATTTGTTACTTCTGATACACGATTCTAATATATCCAAATTAAATCATATACTGTAATATAAACTTTACTTATTAATATATAATTAAGAAAATATATATAATATTTAATTAGAATTTCACCAATTTTGGAGATAAAAAAATTAGACTAATTTGGGACAAAATTTTGTAGATCACATACAAGTTAAAAAAAATTCAAAAAAGTCATTAATAATAAAACTATTTCAAAAATATAGTATCTCGAGCTCAAATTTTTATAGTTATAATTTCGAAAGTTCTATTTTACTTATAAGTAACTATTTTATACTTTAAATAAAAACTCTTTTTATTTATTTTGGGTTAAAGCCAGATTCCAAAGCAAAATACTATGCAAGATTCGAAAGGTAATTAATTTCAACTTAGGTAAAGTATTCAATTTACTTTTCACTAGTTATTTATTTATTTTATTACTGTATTATAGCAAGATAACTTGTAGTATATTTATAAAAATTACAAAAGCTACAAAAATTTATGCTGAAGTCTCTGATGTTAAAACCTCTGAAGCTGATAATTCTTTTGAAGATTTAGAAAATCTACTGATCCAAGATTTTACTGCTTGTTCTGTAGAGATTTTGTCATTTTCAGAAATTTTATCATTTTTTACCATTTCTTGTAATCTGTTAACCATATCCTTTGCCATAAATCTATTACTTTGATCTAATTGACTAGCCATAAAGAAAGTTTTGAGTGCAGATACTATATTTGGCAAGATACATTTTCCTCCTCTTCTACCTAATTGTTGATTTTGTTTAAGAGCCTATCCAAGATTAAGAGAAAAGTAGATAGTATTACTATTAAAAAATAATTGAAATGAGAAATTTGAAATTAATAGCCATTTTTAAAAAAATTCACACTAAATTTACCTGTCTATATTCATAGCAGATGGCCTAATAAAGTCAATATTTTCATTTTCTTTATCTTGAATCTTCTCAAAATCTATCATTTCTGAATACAAATAATTATTCAATAAAGTGATTAATTCAGAACATATTGTATTTGCCTCAAAACCAATATTATAATTTTTTAATTCTTGTTTTAGTTTCTCTGTTTTCCAACGCCACATATCCCAATAGTTAGCATTCGTTGCTATAATTAATTCAAGGTAAATAATATTCAAGGAAGTTGATTATACTATAAAATATTAAAAAAAAAATTTTTTAAATAGTTATTTACATGATACATGAGAATAAGGCATATTCTATGGTGATTTAGGCATTGTATGTTTCAATTTTTCTGGATGAAGTTGTACAACTTTAGTTTTTGCATATTTAGCTATATCAGCAGGAGAAAAGTTTGACCATTCATCAAAATTTGGTAGAGAATATGCATAAATAAATCTTGCATATGGTCCTTCAGATGGCCAGCTCTATTCAGACATATTCGAAATCCCAGGTATAGTTAAAAAATTTTTTTTTGTTTGTTCGTACGATTTGGTTCTAAATGAGCAACTGATGTTCCACCTAAATTCTCTATTGCATTTTCTATATCTACACCATTTTCAATATCAAATCCACATCTAACATATCTTTTTATTGTATGAGAAATCTGAAACAAATATTTATAATTAGGATTTTTCAAAAAAAGCTGACAAAATCTACTTACTTGGGCATAATGTAAGTCAATAAAAGTCTTTGCTTCTCCGGGTTCTAAAAAAACCCATTTCTGAGTTTTAATATTATCTAGTCTTTCCAGTATGAGATTATTATTATCAGCTCAGAGTTATGATAGTGGGAATCATTGTCTAATATTATTGTTATCCATTTTGGTTTTTTTTCTAGAGATATAAAGACTACATTAAAAGAGCTTGTTGTAAACCATGCATTTTGTTTACTGTCTGTTGACTAATGGTCATAAGGGTATAGACATTTATCAGGTGATTTTTTAGGGGAGGGGTCAAAAAAATTAAAATTTTATAAATAACACCTGATCAATTATATATTAAGAGCTGAGGGTAAGCCTCTGATAAAAAAAAATCAGGTGATAAATGTCACTACCCTAAGCATGTATATTTAATTCTAAGGAATTTGTTGATTTGGTGATTACTAATACTGTATGTAATGTAAAATCTCATTTTGCAAAAAAATTTTGTTTTGTCTTACGAGCTTTTTAAGATAATATTTTCATTTTGTAGTCAACTATTACAAGGGCACTCACTATTCTCATCTAACTCTAAAAGGTTTGCATTAAATTGACTATTTAAATAAATCTTTCAATATTGGTAAGCAATATAATATTCAATTTGTTTTTGTAATTCATTTAGATCATTGTGACTTGAATATGGCAGAACTATTCAAAGATTATTGAATAGCAAAAAGACTTGTACACACTCTACACATTCTGATAGGTGGTCTTCTACATATGGGGTGAAGTCAATAGAAAAGGGACAAATTTTTTCTAAGTAAAAGTTTTCTTGACTTTAAGCTTAAATATCTTAGC